CAAAACACCACTGACCTTATTACTGTTGATATTAATACACCTCAGAGCTTTTCAGGTTGTTCATCACTTCACCGTCGGAAGAACCAAGCCAGTTAAGTAGCTAATTATGCTAGTAGATGTAATCTGCAGCCACTTCTTGAGGTCGTCCTCCATCCCTCGTCCTCAGCAGGCAGTGGTGTGATTATATTGTCCTGTTTGGGCTTTAACAGGTGGTGTTCCTACATAAATCCACGATGCTCGGAGAAACTACTTGAGCTCGTACTGTTCGCACATAAACAAACACCGGTTCTGGTCCGCGCCGGAAGTTGTGCCCATAATTCACACAAGGCAGCATGTGGGCCAGGAATAAGGTGGATAAACAACACGTAGGACTTTTAAAAAGGTCCAAACTTGTGGGGTTGGGATTTGATAAATGTCCTGTTTTGTTTCAAAGAAAACTATGTCCATTAAACACAACTGCAAAACAGAAAGGAAGGAAATAATTACAGAATATTTTGATTAAGCAAGTTCTTGATATATATTATATATTTTATAGAAAACAAAATTCTCAAGAACATATTCTAAAGTAATGTAACAACATTTTGCATCATCACTTCAGTGTTTAATAAAGTCCTCCATGGTGGACAAGTGAAGTTATTTCTTCCATTTTCTTCTGATTTTTTTTTAAATTTATTATTAATTCCATTAAGAAAGGAAGAAATGGTTAGAAACAGGGACAGTTACTGTGAATTCTTAAAAGAAACCCAATTACAGCGTACACACCGACTTTGTATTCTTTATATATATATATATATATATATATATATATATATATACACACACATATATATAGGGACGGTGCAGTAGGGCAGCCGACTTGTGACCAGAAATTTGAAGGTTCAACTCCCTGTCATACGCACACCTATAAAATAATTGCTCCCCCAGGCAGCTGCTCCACTTGGGTGTATGTCACATTTGATGGGTCAAATGCAGCGCATGACGTACTGTAGTGCACACATGATGTTTCAACAGTTTCCTACATCCTCATTATCTTCTAAATAATTAGCAAACAATAGGTTATACATATTATTGTCTTGGTAGTCAGTAAGCTTTGCATCACTGCACTGGAACGAAGAGCTTTTAGAACAGATCAATGCAGGAAAAGTAAAGTCTGAGTACTTTACTGTATTGTACAGGTACGATCTGGGTGTCACGTGCACGCCCGTATCCTCTTTGTGTCATGTTTGTAAATGTTAACAGTCATCTTCGCTTCTCTAGATACATTTCTGAAGCACGCTCACATACACAAACACGTTTATCTGCCCAAAGCTGGCTGCGCTGCTCAGAAGTGTGCCAGATGCATGGACTTACAGCAGGAAGTTACACACACACACACTGACACACACACAGACAGACGTATGTGTGTCAGTGTAATAAATCATGTAAAGCAGATTCCTGGTCGATGCTGATGCTACAGTCTCCGTCTGCTCCACATGATTAGGAAGAGGATCATGTGGAGAATCTCCATATGTCTGCTTCATGTTGGGCTTCCAACCCCCTGGGGAGGGTGTGTATATGTGTGTGTGTGTTTATCCACAGAGGAAAGAGAAGAAACAGTAGGTATCCCTGCAGCTTGCTTGCATCCTGTCTGCATGTGCTCGAGTGTGTGTGTGTGTTGTGAATGTCCCAGTCTGCACCGATGCATTTTGCAGATCCCTGGTGGATTTGAGTTTGCAAGTTCAATGTTTCAGAGTTTGGTGAGAGGCTAAATAATGTGTAAGGAGACAGTAAGATTGAATGGATGAGTGTACATCTACCGTTGGCTAATTTTCCTGGTGATTTATTGCCCTCTGCTACCAAACTCACAACCAGCCATGACACAAATACACACACTTCCCCGCTGAGAATACTGAATACAATAGTAGCTGTGCAGGTTCACCGTCACACATAGATTCTCATGTATGGATCTTTATTAATTGTTACTTTTATTCTCATATTGTCCTTTGAATTAAGTTGTGAGGAAAGGATTTTTTTCTACACTTGAAACATCACAATTGTGAGGGTCTGTTGCAGCTGAACTGATCAGTTTTGTAATACAGTAGTCCCTCACTACTTCGCAGTTCGTTTATCACGTACTTGTTCTATCGCGGTTTTTCAAAATAAGATTGGACACGACACATAACTGGCTCATTGATGGATGAGCCGCACGATCCTTATGGAATTTTTATTTAAAATCATTTAATTTAAATCACTAGCACCTGCGGCACCTTTGTGCAGCCCACACTGCAGGATAAACTTTCTGCTGCAGCTGATCAGCTGTTCTCCATGCAGAGTGGAGAGTGGGCGTGGCCAAGAGCGCTTGCAAATGGCAAAGAGCGGAGGAGGCAGAGAGCTGAAATCATGACACTCTGTGCTCTTTAAGAGCATTTAGAGCTTAGAAACATTGTTTATATTATTGTAAGAGTGTGGGAAGTGTTTAAAACGCAACTACTACTTATTACCGGTACTTTTACTACTATTCCTACTTCGCGGTTTTTCACTTATCGTGGGTCTTCAGGGTACGGATCCCCACGATAAACGAGGGACTACTGTACCATATTTTTCCAACCATAAGGCGCATTAAGCGAAACTAAAACAGTCAGATAAGTCAAACTTTATTCATCTCATTCACAATAACTCAACGTTGTTCAGTTGTACCACATAAAATCGGTTCAAGGTCAGTAAGCACAACCAAAATTAATACATAAGGCGCACTGGATTATAAGGCTTACTGTCTATTTTTGAGAAAATTAAAGGATTTTAAGTGCGCCTTATAGTCCAGAAATATGGTTATTTGTCAAATTTAGTCAAGTTTAATACTTTCTGATGAATTTCTAACTTTCTGCTTTTGTTTCCCTCCAATATAACCATAATTTTCCACCTAATAGCAAAACTGCTTCTTACTTTACCATAACACAATAAATGAGCAGCAAACGTAACAACGTTGGTGCCCATAACGGAGCAGTTGGCAGATAAATGAGTCTGGGGAACAAGCATTTATTAGGTGTTAAAGTAACACTGCATGGCTGAACAACGTTCTAAAGAATCCCTGTTGTCTCAAAGTCTCATCCACTGCTGCTCTACTTAGTCACTGGTTCCAATGTTTTTATGGATCTCAATTTTATTTTTATTTTTTCTTCCTTTAAAATCGAAAAAGAACAAAAAAAGTTCCATCTCCAGCTGTTTTTCCCCAGTCTGTTTGTCGACTTCGCTCGGCTATTTTCCCTTATTCTTTTCATTTTCACCTTCTTTCACACTCCTATTGCCTTGTCGCCGTCAGCACCCTGATTCCCTTACCTCCTCTTTGGCTCGGTTTGTCTTTGTGCTTCCTTCGTTTTGCATGTGCCATGCTTTTCTGTGTGTGTGTGTGTGTTTGTTTGTGTTTGTCAGTCTACCACTTCACTGCAATTCATCATCATTTTATCTACAGCTTCCTTAATTGGATTCTATCACAGTCCCACCTGACGAACAGATAGGCAGGGGGTGGAGAGGAAGAGGCTTGCTCACTCCGCCTAACACCGTACGGCTGTGCGCATGTGGGCGCAGAAGTAAACACACAGCTCAGCCTCCAATGTCTAGCTCAATCGGTAGCTGCAAACTTGTGTAGAGACCTGTGGAGTTCCTATTTTTTCTCGACTCCTGCAGAGATTTCATTGGGATTTTACAAGACATCGAAGTGCACTGAAAAATAAAGTAATACATGTATGTGTGTGTGTAATTCATTTGGTTTTGGCTGAGTTTTTCAGAGGAAGATCTTTGTCCTCCAGCATCAGCAATTCACAGCAGTAGTAGAGGTGTAGTAATGAATGTATCATAACTCTGGGAATAAAAAACAGAAAAACTGCGCATTGCTCCAAAACCAACTGTAATGCTGGTTTTTGAGATGTGCTAGGCTTTGAGTGAAGAAAGAAAAACACTCGCAGCATATCTGTGACTCACTACACCTGCAGAAGAAAATGCCATTCAAAGTAATGAGCGGGCCAGATTCCTTTAGAACTATGATATTTAAATATTTAGCTTTATGTGCAGCACTTAGTGTTTTTACAGCTCATTCAATATTCAAAAGGCTTTAGAGCAGTCATGTCATTAAGGACTAATCTGTTCTCTAAAAAATAAAATCCTGTAATAACAACCCCAAAAGTCACATCTAAAAGCACAATCACTCGCATGAAGCAATTACAGAAACGCAAGCGGCTAAATGTGCATGATTTACATTTCCAAAGCACAAAAGAACTGTAGGAGCCATCATTATGATCGGGAAATCAACTTCAGTAATTTGACCCTGAACTATTTTTTGAGTCGCCGTCCAACATCAGAGGTACGAAGCATTCGAGGATCACACTGCGGGCCCTCAATCTTTCCTTTGTAGGGAACCTCAGTAGAGCTCAGAAACAGCAAGTGGTTGCAAATCAGCAATGAGAACTAATGGTGACGCAGAAGTCAGTTAAATGAGCCGCAGCAACTGACAGGTGTGTGACAAGCTGAAGTAGAAAAATAAAAAAAAGAAGGGGGGGGGGGGGTCAGCAAAGCTGCCAAAACCACACATTAGTTCCTGCTGCCTTTTTACTGCCAGGATTGGCTATTTGACCAAACGCTGCGAGCAAACACCGCAGAGTATGCGTCGCATGTTAATCATACTATAAGTAAAGTCATAATTGGAATCGTTAAAATGCCTCCCTCCTGCTTCACGTCCTGATTGGAGCTCAGGAAATTAACATTTTCTAAAATGGTCTCTCCCTATTAGTGGTGACAGTTTGAGTGAGAGCTGAGAGGCAGGAATCAGGAGCTGGAATGAGGAAAGAGTGACTTTGCGACAGTCGGTCCCTGTGGCCATACGCCTCACTTTGCCACAGCAGCTTACGCCTGCCAGCTTCTGCGTTGCACACTGCAACCAACCAGCTGTGAAGCCTCCAAATTGTTGCACCAGCGTGGCTTTCTGGTAAGTAGTACACCGCGGTGTGTGCGTGTGCTGTTATTCTTACCGTGGTCTTCTGACATTGTATGCTCGAGCTGTTGAACCTGAGCGCAGGGACGCTGTGCGTGTTTTCCTGGATGTGAAAGATGCACTCGTAGTTTCTCTGTCCGGACTGAGGCTGGGGCAAGTTCTGGGCCAACAGAGTGATTGGCCTCATTACCCCAGCGGGAATATAGATCTGGGTGGAGGGCAGGATCTGTGGACACTCCTGGATAAGAAAAAAGGAAAAGGAAAAGAACAGCTGTAGGTATAACAGGTAAAGTGCAATGTAAGACTGTAGATACTGTGGGAGAAATAACAAAGAAGAAAATATATTTTCTGCAAGCACCAAAAAAAAACCTATAAATCCATCATTAAATATGCTATTCATTCTCAAAATTAAGAATTTAAAGTGGCAAAACACGCCTTTGGCATTATAAACTAAAACGGTTCCCCTGTGTCCATTAATATGTTCTTTTCTTTTTCTTCCCAGCTGCATTTTACCACACTGGATGCTAATCCACAAGCATCCCGGCTCCCTTTGTTCTTCTGCTGACATCAACTAGCCTAAAACCCTCTTACAAATTATCAACACTCATGAGGATCAACTCTGCTTTTTTTATTAAACACTGAAAATTGAATGTAGCAGTAAATCGTTAAAGAGAGTACAAGCCAATTTGGAATCAACCCCCTCTCCATATTAATGAAGCTTTTATGGATATTAGACATGTTTTGGCCCAAAAGAAGCCACCAAAGGATGTTCTTATTTCATCTGTGTGCACAAAAGGACGAGGCAGTGGCAGCTCTTGGGTATCTGGAAACCCTAGAAGAGAGCAGCACCTCCATACTGTCAACCAGTCCAGTTTAATACAGTGACAGAAGTGATGCTGCAGCTCATCCAATCAAGGTTTCATGACTGCTCTTAAACGTACTCGATGCAAAGTATGAGTTGATATATATATATATATACTTAACCATATGTAATGGTGCCATTTTAAATGGTTTATGCCAGTAGTTTTACAGCTATTCTGAAATGAGGGGCTGCATTCAGTTTAGAATCTTTGATTGAATCTGACAAAAACAAACAAACAACTAAACAAAAAAAAAAAAAACTGTAGAACAGGGCTATTCAACAGAATTGCTCTGGGGGCCACAGTTACTGAAAGCCAAGAGCTCAAGGGCCAGACATCCAGCAGTTATTGTCATTAAGTACCGGTACGTTTCACCAAAGTTCATGCTCCTTAATCCAGGTATAAATCGAACAATGTTCAGTTAGGTCATCTGGACGGTTTATTTTGTTGCTGAGACGTTTCGTCCTTCATCTGAAGGACTTCGATAGGGTAGATGCAGGGCAGCCGACTCAGGACCCAAAAGTCCCAGGTTCGATTCCAAGTCATTGCACATCTCATAGTATCTCGGAGCAGCACACCCTATCCCCAGTTGCTCCCCAGGCGTTTTCAATAGCTGCCCACTGCACCACCTGGTGGTGGATGGGTTAAATGCAGAGAGCCAATGTCGCCATTGTATGGGAACATACAATGATGACAATACATAACACACTATTATTATTACTATTATTATTATTATTATTATTATTATTATTATTCAGTCTGAGGAGCCACCAAACCAAACTGAATCCCACAAACAGTTTACTCCCAGAGTGGGGAAAAAAATGTTTACTGGTGATAAGATGGCCTCTGGGGCCTGCCCTCTCCCCCATTTTGAACCACTTTGACATGGCTGCCTTAGAGGAGTTGACGGGGGAGAGGGCAGGCCCCGGAGGCCATCTTATCACCAGCGAACTGTTTTTTTTTGCTCCACTCTGGGAATGAGATGTTTGTGGGATTCAGTTTGGTTTGGTGGGCTCCTCAAACTGAAGAAGTACTTTGGATGAAGGATGAAACGTCTCAGCAACAAAATAAACCATCCAGATGACCTGACCATACCTTTAATCCATTGTTGGATTAAGTAAGTTTGTTTTGCAGTTTAAAATCTAGTTAAATTTAAAAAATGAACCCATTGGTGAGCCAAACTGAGCTCACCCGTGGGCCTGATTTGGGCCTCGGGCTGCCAGTTGTGTAGCCCTGATGTAGAAGTTTGAGTAACGTCATTGTGCTACATTAGTCCGTGCACGTAAACAAAAAAAAAAGATGCTAAGTGTAATATGTCACCTATTTTCAAGCAGTCATGAATTTTTAAATTAGACACATTAAATGTCAATGTGAGAAAAGTATTGTTATTATTATTTTATTTTATTTATTTTTAACTTTATGATTTCTTTTGTCCAGTCTTCATGACTTTGCAATGAGTACATTTCAACCCCACGTGTCAAACTCGAGGCACGAGGGCCAAATGTGGCCCTTGGTAACATCTTATCTGGACCCCAAGATTATACTTTCAATGTGAAATATTTTCATCACTTCTCATTTTGCTTAGAAAACAAGCGTCTTATTTGGTGCAGACTTCTCATGAAAGATGACCAACTTTGAAGCCAATAATATTTTATGGTAATCTTTAAATCTGATGTGGAAAAAGTAACAGGGATGTCAAATGAGACCAAACTCTTGTTGAGAACCCTGCAGACAAGAAAAGAGGTCAGGTATCTGACTTGAGTTATGTACCAACTGAAAATTTCCATTTGCTTGTAACAGAGTTTGACACCCCAACAAGAAAAATTTCCAAAAACGGCAGGTTTGGACCATAATAATTGACTCCTAAGCATTTATTCATCCTGAAAATAAAATAATAACATTATGAAACTGTCAAAGTGTATGATACATCGTTGTTCAACAATGAAATTTGTATTCCATTCTGTTTATTTCAGCTTCTATAACTGTAAATCAGCTGTATCGTAAATGATAATGTAGCTGTTTGATATCCTTCTAGGGCAGTGTTCGAATTGTATTGACTTAACATCTCTAAAAACTGCACATATGTTGTGGAAGTATTCAATTCAAGGGTTTTTCTTTTGATGTGTAAGATGATAAACTAGTTCAAGAATTAGTTTATTGTATCTGCTGTCAACCTTTAACTGTTAACTTGTAATGTGTTTGTACATTTATGCTTTTTGTTTTAGTGCCAGCCGTAAAACTAATTGCTCCTTGGGGATAATAAAGTTGTCTTGAACTTTGATTCAGGTTCTTTGGTGTTTTATTCAAGATTTACACTGAATAAAAGCAAATGTGTGAATACATTAATTCCTTAAAAAAAGTTTGTGATGTCAAAGATGATAAAGTGAAAGGAATATGTTTAGACATATTGCCTTCTGCTCGTCACACACACAAAAAAATACAATTTCTTTAAGTTTCCCTTGCAGTTTCAGTATGAAGCCCCAAAAAACATCAAATTTTATAGTATTAGGGGAATATTCATAACAGCAGAACAAGTTTGAAACATTGTGACTGATGTTATGGCAAACTTATGATGTGTAATTTTATTATAACGACTAAAAAAATGAGAAAAAAAAATCACTTGGTCTTTTATTCTATCTAACGTACTCCTGCGGTCTCTACTGTATAAATGATTATGGGTACAACTTCCTGTCAGACACAGGAAGTAGCAGTAAGCATTGGTTAACTATGGTAGCGGAACACGAATCATGGTTTATTTTAAAGTAATTTGCATTCAGTTTATCAGATAAAACACTGTTTTTGTTTTGTTCACAATAATTTAGCTTCCATAAAGTTTTATAAAATAGCCGTGCTGAGTTCAGGTACCTGTTGTGTTCACGGTTGCATGAACAACCAGACCAAACTAAATCAGTGGCTACAACAACAGAGTTTTTTAAATGGACCCAAAACAACAACAAAAAAAAGTGTTCCTGTGAAAAGAGGTACAGTTTCTATTATCTACCTGCAGATGAGGAGTTAAGAAGAATGTGGCTGAAAAATGTGAACTTGAGGAGAAAACCCAAAACACTGTCTGTGAGCTCATTTCACTTTGTTGACAAATGGTCGACGGAGGAAAACCAGCATCAGGGCGGCTGTGGCTGAGTGGTTACAGCAGTTGACCTCCAATGGGAGAGTTGGGGGTTCGATTCCACCAGCAGTCACGTGCTGAAGTGTCCCTGGGCAAGACACTGAAACCATCATTGCCTCCTATGTGTGTCCCATCGATGTATGAATGAGATAAAGCACTGATTAGTCTTTGTATAGATCTAGTAGAGTGCTGCATGAATGGGTAAATGAGGGCACATATTGGAGTGTAAGGTGCTTCAATTCAATTCAATTCAAAAATACTTTATTAATCCCAGAGGGAAATTAAATGTTGTTGTAGCTCATTGTCCTTGTTTCATAAAAGAGTTGTTCTAGATGTTGATGGTTGTGGGCGGGAAGGATCTCTTATGATGGTCCGTCTTATAGCAGATCTGAAAAAACTGGCCACAGAGGTTGATCCGTTTACTTGCACTTGGTTGGCCTCCTGGGCTTCAGGATCACCTGAATGTTGGGCAGAAATCCTCCCAGGGCAATGGCCACTCCTCCCAGCAGCTTGTTGAGCTCCTCATCGCTGCGGACAGCCAACTGTAGGTGCTGATGGACGATCCTGTCCTTCCGCTGTCATGAGCCATGTTTCCTGCTAGTTCCAGGATCTCAGTGGTCAGGCACTCGAGCACAGCTGGCAGGTTGATGAAAATGCGTCCACAGAACATCCTTTTCAACTCATTTGAAATTTGGGGCTGTAGTTGAGATATTACTTGAGCTTTTGAGATGTTAATCAGCTGCTGTTGGTTGTAGAAACTGCCTTGTTGCCATGGTTACGCATCATAACAAATGTCCAAAACTAAAAAAGTTTCTGTAAAAATCCTTCCAGCTACACAGCATCTGATACCAGAGGAAACAATCATCCAAAAAAAATGTGATTTACATCCAGAAAAAGAGGAATTAAAGTTTCCAAAAGGAAAATCTCAGAATGAAAGTAACAGAGTTGCTCCAACATGCAGCCACCTTGAGCGACGCAATTCTAGAACAATTCTAGAACAAATCTCGAATTCTTCGAGTGTCTTGATAAGACAGAAAGGCGTTATATACAAGTACAGTCCATTTACCATTTTCCATATGGCTGGGCTACAATAAACCACCGGAGAAGAGACGCCGGATCCTTAGAAGGATTGAAAACTATGACAAGAATATCAGGTATGATTTAAAGTGTATGGAGGACACAGCTATTTGTTCGTCTTCAGTATTATGATTTTCTCTGTAATCAACCCAAGCTCAGCGATGGAGGACTTTA